CTAAAACATTATTTTCCATCATGAACAGCATTTTTCAGCCTCCCGACTCCTTACCCATCCATCTTTACTCTTCAGAAACCTGTAACTCTCTCCTTCAGTTTTTTAATGAGAAGGTCAATAGAATCCATCTCTCTTTACCTCATTCCTCCCCTCCCTCTCCTGATTTATTTGAACCCACCATTCCGTTCTCCTCCTTTGAACTTCCCCATCCCTCAGAAATATTAGATTACATCACCAAATCCAAACCTTCCACCTGTCAACTGGACCCTATTCCAACTGTTTTAGTTAAATCGTGCCTTTCTTCTCTGCTCCCTTTTATAACAGCCATTATTCATTCCTCACTATCCTCTGGTACGGTCCCATCCCTATTCAAATCCGCTTCAGTCAGCCCTATTCTAAAAAAACCTGGTTTAGATCCCAATGATTTCAATAACCTCCATCCCATTTCCCATCTTCCCTTCATTTCCAAAGTCCTTGAGAAAACTGTTGCATCTCAGCTCCATTCACATCTCACCCGCAATAACCTTTATGAACAGTTTCAGTCTGGCTTCCGTCCCCACCACAGCACAGAAACAGCTCTCATCAAGATCACTAACGACCTACTCATTGCTGCTGATTCTGGTTTAATCTCTATTCTTATTCTCCTCGATCTGAGTGCGGCCTTTGACACCATTTCTCATCCCATCCTCCTCAATAGACTCTCTTCCTTAGGCATCACTCACACCCCCCTCAGCTGGTTTCAATCTTACCTTACTGGCCGCACTCAGTTCATCCAGTTAAAATCCTTTACCTCAGAACCCTCCCCAGTCAAGTCAGGTGTGCCCCAGGGCTCTGTCCTGGGGCCCCTCCTCTTCATAGTATATCTCCTCCCTATCGGCAAAATCTTCCGCAAATTCAATATCCAGTTTCACTGCTTTGCAGATGACACCCAGCTCTACATTTCCAGTAAGCCCAACTCAACTCTCCCACCATCCTCCCTTACACTCTGCCTCTCTGAAATCAAATCATGGTTCACCTCTAATTTCCTCAAACTCAACGGCAATAAAACTGAACTTCTTCTTGTTGGCACTAACTCAACCCTCTCAACATCTGACAGCTTTTCTTTAACTATTGACAGCGCCACAGTCTCCCCCTCACCTCATGTCAAGAGTCTGGGTGTCATTCTCGACAGCTCACTTCCTTTTCAGGCTCACATTAATAACTTAATTCGGTCAGCATACTTCCATCTACGTTCCATAAACCGTCTTCGTCCCTCACTGACCCCTCACACTGCCGCCATTCTCGTCCACAGCCTCGTCACCTCCCGTATCGACTATTGCAATTCACTTCTTTATGGTCTTCCCGACAAACTCCTTCATAAACTGCAACTGGTCCAGAATTCAGCAGCCCGTATTATCACCAGAACCCCTTCCTTTCACCACATCACGCCGGTTCTCCAGCAGCTTCACTGGCTCCCAGTTAAATTCAGGTCCATCTTCAAAATTCTCCTCCATACCTTCAAAGCAATCCACAACCTCTCTCCTCCATATATCTCAGACCTTATAAGTATTCACACCCCGTCCCGTTCACTCAGATCTTCTTCTTCCATCCATCTTGCAGTTCCTTCTGCCCGTCTCGCTACCATGGGGAGCAGAGCTTTCAGCCGCTCTGCTCCTCGACTCTGGAACTCACTTCCCCCAGACATCAGGAACGTCGACAGTTTTACCCTTTTCAAAACAAAACTCAAAACACACATGTTTAAATCTGCCTACAACCTCTGATTTTATTGAAATGTTTCTGTTTTTTCTTCTTTGGGTTTTATTATTCTTTTATTGTATTTTATTACGTGTTTTGTGTAAAGTGACCTTGGGTGTCCTGAAAGGCGCTTTGAAATAAAATGTATTATTATTATTATTATTATTATTATTATTATTATTATTATAAAACACTTTCACAATAAAAGCCATGATACGCATAAAGGAGCAAAATGTAACAATTCTACAGTAAAATAATCACAAAACAGTCGGATGTCTCAATCACGTTGGAAGGACGATTATACTGAAACAGATGTAATTCTCAGCCGGCTGGGGGATTGTCAGTGATTCTCCTTTTATGAAAACTAAAGAGGGAAAAGGTTTTTGTTTACATTCAGTGAGCCCATGATGTTTTTGAATCTGCACTGAGCTAACGCAACTTTTCTATTTCAACACCAGCAGGCAAAAAGCGCCAGTGTTGTCTAAAGAACTGAAGCCAGTAAACAGAAGTGACCCAGAAGTCGTGTGTGTGTGTGTGTGTGTGTGTGCATTGACTGTTTCGCCTCATCTGCTGACCGTGAGATGCTGAAGATGCTGGAGAAATATTACCATAAAAAGTGTAGTAAGTGCTCCCTAGTGTAAAACAACCAAGGGTGCCAATACCAAATATGATACTGTATTTATCTACCTATCAAGAGTATATAGCAGAAGTTTGAAGGTGATTGGTGAAAAGGGCAACGGGGCATAATTCTCCAAACAACGCGTGCGAAAACCACTAATTCGAGTACTTGGACCAAAATGGCCAACCTCCTGTACGACATTGCGCTTGGCTCCAAGAGATTTTTTGTAGGTCCTGAGACACTACAATAGTGTACCAAATTTCGTAATCCTCAGTCAAAGCATGGCTTGGGGCGGACAATTTTAATGGTCCTAGGGGGCGCTATTTCAGAAAATAGGCCACGTCCACTGGATTTTCACATCAGATTTTTTGGGGGGCCGGACTAGGATCACTCACCAGAAGTTTCATGGCGATATCTTTAGAAATGACAAAATTGGAGGCAAACGTATGGCCACGGCGGTATGCCTGACTTCGCCATGCCGCCACAGCCCCACCCTCTTTTGAAAACTCCCATAAAGTGATGCCAAGCAACCCCCACTTGTCTTGAGTTACCAGCTACAAATTTGTGGTGATTAAGTGAAATGGGGTGATTTGGGACCTATCACAGTAAAACTTGACCATTTTGGTCCTGAGGGGGCGGGGCTTGTGTGATGTCATCATCCGACCATTCAGTTTAGTTTGTGGCGAGATGTCGAATGAACACAGACATTTTGTAACTCTACTCTATTCGAGTATGAAGTTATAGCCATTTATATTTTTTTGGCGAGTAGTTGAACTTCGAGGCCTGGCCACGCCCCCTCAGCATATACAAATGTCACTTTTATTTTTTCTATTTTATCGCCCATCTCTTCTGAGCAATTTCTCACAACTTTCGAGGCGATTGTGCGAAAAATGATCGAGTAAATCAATCAGAAGCGGACCCTAGAAACGGCCAAAACGGGGTCAAAATCACCACTTCAAACCAAAATGGCCGACTTCTTGTTTGATGTTGACCATGGTTGCAAGAGGCTTTTCTGTGTGGACTGTTGAGTACTACAAGTGTACAAAATTTCATAACTGTACCACAAACTAAGGTTTGAGGAGGGGGGTATTTTTCACATTCTAGGGGGCGCTGTGGAGCTAGTTTGATAGCGATTTTTTGGGACCTTTAAAATACAAAATTTTACACCACGCCTGACATATGTGCAAAAATTCCTGAGTTTTTGGGTATGTTAAGACCTCCAAAAAGCCTATTTACTTGGCGGAAGAAAAATAAACAGAGCAGATACAATAGGCCTTCGCAGTGCTTTCGCTGTTCGGGCCTAAAAAATCAAAACAGTCATGGTACAAATTTTTAGGCCCGACCAGTAAATGTATGTGGCAGAGCTACAAACTAAAACTAGTATCTCACCGGGCTGCAGCTGTTGGTGTCTTGTTGGAATCGCACTGTTTAGTAAATGACAAATAGAGACAGCTGCGTAAATGTTTCATTTTACTAACAAAGTCTCTTAACTGCGTCTTTATTTGCTATCTTTTATCCAAATTTTGGTCGCCAACCCTCTACCAAAGTCCTCTCACAATCACATTATGACACAAGCAAACATCTAGAGGGATTCAAAAGCTATTCTAGATATCTGCAAAAATTCTGACTCTTTCAAAAAGAAATGTGTTCAGCAAATTTTTTTAACACGTTCAAAATTCCAGAGAAATGCAATGCATGCAAGGGAACCTTTGAGAATATTTCCAAACATTTTGGAAACTCCGTCGCAAATGCTGTTTGCTATTTGGTGCCAACAGCCTCAGCTCAGAGAAACTGGCTTAAAAACTTAAGTTGCTTCCAAAAAGAAAATCTATTTTCTTTGCCAATTTAAGCATTTTGAGGATTTATACAGTAATCTGGCTCAGGCGTTGAACTTTTCTTTGTATTCACAACTTGGATTCTCTTAATGCCAATAAAACTCAGCAACTCATCAAATTTATGATGTTATTAAAAACTATACTTTTCCATCTGTGGCTGTGCGCTGATCAGCAGAAGAACCGCAGGCTGTGATGTTTTCAGAACCGCTTACCGTTTCAGCTCCAATTCCCTGATTTCTCAGGGCTCGCCAGGTGGCGAGTGATAATCCTGCACAGTAGACTTTCACACCTAGTCAACAGTCATGTCTAACTGTGCTGAGCTTCCTGCCAGATAGGGAGGTGTGCATGGATTGAGTGATAGCCCAGGACTGCCAGGAAAATGTGTGAATTGGGAGAATACAGGCTATTACTGACTCGGATATTTTACTGCTGACTCACTCAGGAACAAATTGATGCAAACAGTTTTAGGGAGGTTGGGCAAGGGCATCCCAATGGATCCATAATATTAACTTGGCCTGCAGATTTTCAACTTGTGCTTTATCTTCTGTGCTACATTATACACAACTCCAAAAATAATGAAGGCTTCGATAAATTCCCTATGCTGACAGGCTGACAGACAGGCAGGGATGTTAATTCTTTAAATTATAGGTGAGAAAGTAAGGTGTCTCCTTAGAATTTGGAGGGATTATTCCAGGCTGTTTTAATTTTCAAAAATGCCAAAATGTTCCACATCTAGCTGGCGGATTACTTACAGTGTAATTTAAGTTTCAGTTAAATCAGAATAATGAATCTTACTCCTCCGCTCTCTCCAGGAACTGGATTACAGCACAAAAAGGAAGAAGAATTCCACCTGCTTATGCGCATCCTGATAAATGAGAGCAGGGTGAGAAATGTTCGACAACAGCACATCCATCTTGCAAGGTGTGACGATTTCTCTGCTGTGCCATATTGGTAGCAGCTGCCTGTACAGATATGAAACTCCAGTTTCAAATTAACGTGCCAGGGATTATCCCACAGAATGATAGTAGCAGCGACAAAAAATACGCATCTGTACACACTCCTCTTGACCTAAAAATGTCAACAATGTTGGAGGTGCAGCTGTACTTTTTAAAGCTTCCTGGTGAACAGCACTCAGTGTTGACCTTTGACCTTAGCCAGGTACAAAGTGCATGATAAGATGCCACCTCTTGAATCAGCCTGAGGGCTGCTGCTGTTTGCATTTCCACTACATGCTCAGCTGGATTTACCAGAAAGGAAGTAAGCATGGATTGAACTGGTCAGTGACGAGTCTGTTGGGTGCAATTATTCTATTATAAATATTCTATGTGGCTTTTTATTGTCTGTGCAAAAATCATAACAAGGCACAGTGCAGCCAAACTGCACCGGGTCTTGGTGGTTGTTTAATGGAGGAAAGTTCTCGAGTAATTGGAGAACCGTACATGGTTTAGGCCCCTCAAGATTTGTGCTGGAGCCCATTAAAGTGACATTTGAGAGACAGATACTGGACCAATAAAGCAACCAATAATAGTAATTTTCTATTCTACTGATTCCAACAAAACGAAGCTAACCAATGTGTCATGGATGCTTCCTAGCATGTATTCACAACTTCTCATCATTTTCTCCCATTTTTCTTTTATTTAGTATAAAAGTATAATTGACATAATTGTAAAAAGTGCCCAATCACCTTCTCTGGAAACACAAACATGATGCAAACTAAACGTTTATGCTCTAACGTTATTTTGGAGAAAATTTGGCAGAGACCAAAAACTATGAGCCTGAGGTTAAATAAATAATATGTCTTATGTTGGGTGTTATTTATCAAAATGAGTAATACTAAAATGTTTCACAAAACTAGCTGATTTAGTTTTCTAGCATGCGGTGTGGGGAGCAAAGTAAGACTTTCATTGTACAGGGAACTACTTCTCAACAGAATACTATGTTGATTTCCCATACACACTATGTTTGAAGAAAACACACAATTTAGGCAGATAATTGTTATATGAGGGGCAGCAGTAGCTCAGAAAGCCCTATATGAAATAGATAATGACAAGCTGTATGGGTCCCACCAGGGTTTGTCCACAGTTTCCACAGTGGCCCCACAGGGTTTTGTCCACAAAAGAGTCAAACCCTCTGAAAACCCATATAGATCCTGTTAAAATCTATGCGGGCAAACCCCTGTGGGGCAACCATGGAAACCGCAGACAAGATCCTGATGAGATCCATCTGACTTGCTCATTTGGGGCCTACCTATGTGTGCTGGCTGGGTTGTAGGATCAATCCCAGCTCCAGGCTGAGAATACTGCTGTTGTATCCTTGTGCAAGACACTCAGTCTACCATGCCTGCTGGTGGTGATCAGAGAGACCGTTGACGCCGGTGTTGAGCAGCCTCGTCTTTGTCAGTGCGCCCCAGGACAGCTGTGGCTGCATTATAGCTCATCACCACCAGTGTGTGAATGGGTGAAACACCTTGGGGGGTTGTAGAACCCTGAGAAGGCGCTATACAAATACAAGCCATTTATCGTGAAATCTGACTGAACCACATATGCTAAAAACTAGCAGCTTCTTCTTGTCAACAAAAAAAAAATAATAATAACTTGTTTTCTTGTGGATTTAAAAATTCCACCTATTTTCCAAGAAACTCAGCAATCTGTTGAGTACCACAGGACTTAATACAGGCTTTAGCAGTGAGTTTATAGCATACTGTCTTTGGTGTGCAAGCTGTTTGACAAGTCACAGGTCCTAAACTATTAAAATATTTATGACTTGCTGCTCATTTAGGTGGAGTTCCCATGGGGATTTACTCTCATCTGATGTGTTTTTTTGGTTCATAAATGTAATTATTCATGTTAAAAATGTGTAAATGGTCATCCTAAATATGTGAAAATATAGTCTGGCCACCGCCCATAGTCATGGGGCAGAATCTACAGTCATCTTTCATACTGTTTCCGCATTAAATTGGACAGCTCTTGGACCAATAAGAGCAACAAACAATGTGACGTATTCATCGCTAGGGAAATCAGTCAAAGTGGAGAATGCCATACACTGACAAAGAAGAGGTAGAAGAAGCAAAAACATCCTTTTTCAAACATAAAGGGCTTAAATATCTCTATCTGCCCATGTCTCAAAGAAAAGCCCAAGTCTAATTAGTCCAAAGTGGATGCCAAAGCCGATAACGAGCGCCATCCCTGAACCGACGCCATCTTTGTAGTTTTCCTCAATCTCAGCTCTGTTTCTAAACCAGCCCAACATTTGTCTACAAACATAGAGCGCTGTGATTGGCTGGATGTGAAACTGTTCGAGCCAATGGTAGACCAACCAGCTGAGGCTACAATGGAGCATGGCTAGACTGACCTGCAGAGCTAAATCTTTTGCTACTTCTACAGTTGGTGTAGATTTCTAGGCTACTAGAATACATGTTCTGTTTTCAAATCTGTTTTTGATTTAGCTGAAAGTCAAAATTTAAATGATCAAATTTGTGAGTAACTCAAGGTTAAGTAAATCTGCATAGCTTGATGTACTCCTTAAGAATCCATTCCATAAATCAAGCTGAAAACAAAAGGGGGTTGTGATCATTGTGTGGCACTATTGGGCACAGATGGTGAGGGAAATAAAATCCAATATAGTTTTGCATGCATCATTAATAAAAGCTATGACCCCTGACATTTACCTCTTACTTCAAATCTCAAAGGCAAAGCACGGCATGCAGAATACCTGCAGTGCCTGGTGTTATCGCAGGTTTTTCCTCCTAAAACTATCAAATAAGCACATATACTTTCCATGTGCATCTATTTGTTTTCACACACATCATATTTGTTGGATGTAGGGATGTAAGAAAATATCAATATGGCAATACATCATGATATTTTTTCTTGTGGTATTATATAGATTTTCAAAAGCCGTGTGTCAAATTTTTTGGAAGAATTTACATGGAAACATTTGCATATTTTTCTTTTCTTTCGGTGAAATTCAAACGCCAACCGCTAGTTGGCAGCAGTGTGCAATGGGTTTTGTTTCTACCATTGAAATGTAAATCCCTCTATTATGGTTCCAATACCTCATGTTAAACATGTTACATATCCGTTAGGACTGATTATTGAATTACAATAAAATCAGTCAAAAATAAAAATATCACAAATACCATCTGGCTGGCATCAAACTAACCTATCCATACTTCCTTAATGATTGGTTTTCTATTCACACTTCCATGAAGCAGCTTGTAATCATGTTTTTTCATTAGATAAGAAATTTACAAAACACAGAGAAACAAGTTCATAATAAACATTTGGGACTGATGATTCACTTCTTTTCTGACAAAAATTAGGAATGCAAATTGCCTCCTCTTAATTACAAGAGCCATTAACATTGAAGAGAAAAAAAAGCTTGGGTTCAAGTCATTCACTCAATAAAGCAGATGAATGTGTGTCAGTGTGGTAGTTTAATCACTGGAAGCTCATCAATCACCATGAGAAACAGCTTTGGACCTCAATTTCATAGACAACACCGTATAGAGAGGCAGCTCATCCACAGCCACATAAATCCAGAACTGATCCACTACGCTCATCAGGAATACATAAGTTCATTGGAGGGCCCATCCATCACTGCGTGCCCTGCATGCACCATTACTTTCAAAGTCCAACTCCTACACTTAATGCACACCTAGAGAGCAGACGGATGCCATTCAAAAAAAAAATAAAACTAAGTCTAGATCCCTACCAAATTTGCTGCTGGCTGGGCCACCGGGTTCAGATGCTACTCACACACCGGGATGAGACAATATATCTTTTTAACGGCGATGCTCATCATGTTAAATAAATAATGTAATTATAACACACGTAGTCCTACACCGGAACAATATTATTGCAAACAAGATCTTTATGTTTTCCCATTTTCTCCCACTTCTCCAATTGTGTTTGCTAATCGACTGAAGTTTTGTACATAGAAGACATAAAACGTCAAGGATAACAACCTTAAACTTCAATCGCTGTCATTTCCACAAGAAACCTTCCATAGATCTAGTATTATAGATGTAACCTTTTGAATGAAATAGAGTTTTTGTCCTCAAAATTGGCCATAAAAACTTAAACTCTTCTCTTTGATCCAATTTATTCCCTTTGCTCTCAGTGTTTGGCATTGAACTTTCCATGATAAAGCCATTACTAAAATCAGTAATTTAAATGGCAGTCATTGTTGTTTTTTTTGACGTTTTAATGACACTATCATAAGCACTTATCCACCTGAGGGGAGTTTGGGCCATGGGACGCTGCCAGTGAAATTAAGACAATGAATAAAAGATAAGATGGGAAAAGTGCTGAACTGTGGCTGAGTCTCGAGATCCCAGAGTAGCAGCAGTTCTGAGAGCGTGAGCCACCATAGACCCCACCCTACTCTAATAATTTGACCCCTGAAGCTTTTTGCTCAAGCTGAGGGGCAGCTCCTCCAGGCTCTCAGGGGTAGGGGTTATTTTAATCCTTTTTTAGACTTTCTGGAGATTGTCTTGTGATATTTTCCCTCAGTGACGTGTGCAATCTGGATGAGGGTGATGGATGACTTCTCCCAGGGTGGTACGAGTAAGACCAATGAATTCAGTCTTCTGCACACGATGAATGCTCATTTTCTCTTTCTTTCTTTCATTACGGGCCTTTGATTTACATAATTAAATTGGCCTGTATACTCCCCCGATCAAGGAGGTGCCCCCCCCCCCCCCCCCCCCCACACACACACACACACATTTAACAGGTCACAGGGTAGCTTCTCACCCTTATCAGGAATCTGTAGTACATGGTAGACATGCAGCTCAGTGCGGACCTTTTTTCCAGATGCTCAGTTCTCCCGAGCGATCACAGGCATTAATTTCATGCTTCGGTGACTTGCTGTGGTTCATTT